CCATAGTCTTTGATAGTCTCCATACCTGACCTGGCCCTTTGTCATCCTCAGTGGGATGCCTGCAGTAGGATGTGTATGACATCCCCTTGGCAGAGTTCTACTATGCAAGCATATCTGACTTTATCCTGAGAAATGGTAATAACTGATTCACATGCTCCCTCTGATAAGGTGGCTGCTGAGAAATAACACTGAGCCTAGTTGATTAAAAGAGGCAAGAATTGCTTGGCTAAGATGGAAAGTGCCCCGACCTCACTGAAGGAGAATGGTGAAAGTCAGGAGCTGGGCCTGGGTGAAGGGCTCAACCACAAACTGGACTTTACCTAACAAATGCAAACAATGTCACCTAATTGTATGTAACCATATTTTAATCTGATTTTTTTAAAATTGAGATAGAGTCTCACTTTGTTGCCCTCAGTAGAGTACCATGGCATCATAGCTCATAGCAACGTCAAATCCTTGGGCTCAAGCGATTTTCTTGCCTCAGCTTCCCTAGTAGCTGGGACTACAGGCACCTGCCACAACACTCAGCTTTGTTGTTGTTGTTGTTTGTTTAGCAGGCCTGGGCCAGGTTCAAACCCACCAGCCCTCGAGCATGTGACCAGTGCCCTAACCACTGAGCTACAAGCACCCCTAATCTGAATATTTTTTAAAAAAAAATCAGGAGGTGAGGGACTGAAGAAGATTGTCAGATGACTTGGAAAATAACCATAAGTCCTCAACATATCAGCAAGGTACCTGCTACACTTTTTAACCTATTTAGGTCTGTCAATTCAGTTACCGGGCTATCTTCCCAAAGATGGCTCATTTCCATGACAAATTTTGTTAGGATAAATGAGGTAAAAGAACACATGATGCCATGCAGCTGGACCTCTTCTGTGGCACCCCATCAAAGCAGCTAGGTGCCATAGGGCTGGGGGACCAGCATGTGGTGGGTAGTGACAATAAAGACAGAAGCAGCCATCTCCCCTTACATTCCCATGACACCATATAAAGCACTTTAAATATATATGAGAGAAAGATAATTCACAAACTGTAAAACGTTCACTTGTAAGTATACAATTCAGTGGTTTTTAGTATACAAATACTTTTATGGTCTTAAAGGACCGTGTCGGATTAGGATCAGAACTTTGGCTTTTACGTGTTACTGTTGTATTTTTACCACTCCTTTCTCTACTTTGATTTCTCTGCTGGCACCCATATAAGTTTCTACTTCAGAAATTTTTAGCCCCAGGGGCCTTTTTGCTCTCTTAGCACCAGATACCTCCGCCTGAACTGTTTCCTTCTACTGCTACTCAGCTCTCCCACACAGCCGAGACCAGGGGGTTCCAAGACCTGAAAAACCCACCAGCTTCCAGGTTCTCATCAATTATCTGGGGGACAAGAGCTCCATCAGGCATCTTTGCCACCCCAAGCAGACATGGCCACTTTGAAGCCATCTCCTGCCTGTGTTATGCCCACATTAGTGTAATCCCATCAAGTCTTAAAATGTCAACCTGCCAGGAGAGCAGGTTTTGGGCAAGGATGGTCCTGCTGACATGGGAGTCACTACAGGAAGAGGAGCTCCAGGGAGTTGAGACAATGATGACATTGCTCTTTTTGGATTTGATGAGGAGGAGAAAAGCAAAGCTGCTAAGATGCTAAGTGGAGAACACCTTGCACAGTGTGAACCAAAGAACCCCCCCAGTCTCCTCACTTGTTGCCACGTCTTCCATCCTGCTGGATGTAAAACCTTGAGAGGATGAGACAGATGTGGCAACATTAGAGGAGTGTTCCAGAAGCATTCAAGCTTGGTCTGAAGCGCCTCTACACCAGTTGTGGTGGGATGTGGAATTTTAAAATGTCAAATATAGTGTGTAGCTGAAGACGATGAAATTGGCATAATGCGCTGGAGTTGCAAATCGCTGCTTTTGAGGACTATGTGCCCACGGATGTGGCTGCTTTCAATGAGATCTAAAATCCATCCTTGATCATTGTACTTAAATAAAAGTCTGAAAGATTAAAAGAAGAAGGAAAAAAGGAATAGAAGAAAGAAAGAAACATTTAGCCCCAGGGATCTAATATGGCATCTCTTTGATATTTTATGAAAGGCTCGACAAATCAGACCAAAACAAAAAATTCAGATTCCTGTGAATAATAAGAACACCTTAAAACAAACTTCCCAAATAATCACAGACACAGAAAAACCCCATGTGAGTTAAAGTTAAATCATAATTTATCTAGTTTTTGGAAAGAAAAATGACCATGGTTTAATCAACCTGCATTTTACTTGCACAGTCAGTTATTTTAGATTTTTGTTTTAAATTTTGTTTTTTAGCTCTCAAGCCTTGTTATAGGTGAATATAGTTTTTTGTTATACCTTATAGAAAGAGAAGAAACAATATTTAAGAAAATTTTCTTATTTGAGGAAACAAAGCCTTAGGTCCTCAACACAGGACCTACTGATGCTCACCAAAAACTTAGCAGAAGTTTATCAAGATGAGTCTATTTGGTTTGGTTTGAAATTAGGCAGGCAGGTGGGAAATACTGAATGCCAATTAATATTATATGTTGAATTGTTGGCTATATCTACCTCTGGCATTTCTGGAACATTTAAGAGGGTTACCACCTCTTCATCACTTCTCTTTCTTACTGAAATATAAACACACACATACACACTCTTCAAGTTCTTTTGCAGAACTTCATTTATGGTTGTTTTTAATTAAAGCGATTCAGAAATTATTTTTATAAATATATGAGGTTGGACAATTAAGGTCATGAACTCATCCTAGAAGAAGGATGCTACATTGCTGAATATCACTACAGTCACCTTCAAGGTACTCCCCTTGGGAAGCCGTGCACCAAGCACGATGCCTAGTCCACCCTTCAGAGCAATTTTGGACCTCTGTTTCTTAGTCATCAGAGCTGTTATTGTATGAAAGTCTGACAATTAAGTTCTCTAACTCATCCTAGGAAAAGAGCTACATACCTCATTACTGAATATCACTATGGTCGCCAGATCCATAGACTAGTGACTATAGTGAAATTCAGCAATGAGTATATAGCACTATTTCTAGGATGAGTTCATGAACTTAATTGTCCAACCTGATATAGCCTCATCTTGCATTTTTATTTATTTCCAACATCTATACAACACTGATTTCAGAAGAAAAAGGAAGGCCCAACTTTATATACCTACCTGTATAGGAAAAACTGACTCCAAAATTCCCTTTCCTGCATCTGGTGGTCTCTTCCTTGATGATCCCACATATGTTCCCAAGGACTTTTGCATAGTAACTTAGCCTGAGATCATTCCTCTTATTCTTTTGGTGTGACTTATGAAGACACCTTGTCATTTTATAAGGTTGTTTATGGATTTGATCCTTCATCAACTCCCTACTCTTTTCCAGGAAGACTTGAAGGTGTGTTTGTGAGAATAAATGCATATCCTGAGTCCACATAACAGGCAAGAGCTGAGCCCAAGTTATATGATTCAGTCTTGACTTTTCTGTTTTGGGTCTAGACTGCTTCCTGTGCCTTTCCAAAGAATTATTTATTATGAGACCTGTTAATGCTGACAAGTCTTTGAAGCAGAGAAATGAGAATGTAAAATAAACACATTTTTAAAGAGAAGTCTGATATGTAGTACTTAGAATAGTGCCTGGCATGTGGCAAGTGTCATATAAACTCATTGATTAAATTAAATAGACAAATAACTGTGGTATAACACAAATAGTATTTGTTCCAACAAGTACATCAAACATACCAGGTTAATTTCCCCTCTGGCTGTGTCGGAGAGCTTCTTTTGTTTCCCTAGAAGATCAAAAGAAAAATAATAAGCAAAAGCAAACCACCTTCCCACCAGTGCCCTCCCTGTAGCAAGCCAGTGAGGGTGTTATTAGTTCGGGCCTGTTCATTTGCTGCGGCTGCAGTGCCATGTTAGTGAGCTGCTCATTTCCCTCACTGGCTCATCAGTCTTCTCCTCATAGCCCTATGGCATAGCTAAGAGGAAGAGACAGAATCCAGGACATCACTTGGAAAAGGCTGGAAGTCCTTGCCCCTAGGATGTTCCATACACAATTCTAGAAACACCCTGCCACCTACCTTCCCAGAATCTCTACTATCTAATTCACTTTGGACGTGGAAAATCAAAACATATATTCCAGACTCATTTTTTCTGAACTTCTGAGAGATGTTCTGCTAGCCTGAAGAAAGATGAAGAAATCCATGGAAGAGCCATAAAAAGAACTGGGGGGCTGCAGATACAGAGTTTAGGTTATATCGAATTTTTCCCAGTTCTGAGAAGGTTCTGGGCTTGCTCCAAAATGTCGGAAGCGCTTTGTCCAGACAATGCTCTCTCCTGTGGCATATAAAAGAAGGGTGGCTCTGCCTAGCTCAGTTTCTACAGCTACACTGTGGTTGGTATTGTGGGAAAAGGGATGAGAAAGTGTAGAGGAAAGGAAAAAGACAGAAACTGAAGTGGCTCAGATCAGAGCTACCTGCGTTTCTCTCTCTTAGGTAAACATTTTTTGTTCGTGACACTGAGGGAATTCTTAATAAAAGTTCAAAGTAATTCTTTTCAAAACATTATACCTCTCCCATCCCAGCCAAACCCACATATTTCAAATGCATCATTGTTGCATGAGGATTGAGTTCAAGCGTGTGTTTGTAAAAGCAACAGAAAGTAAGGACTCTCATAGTACAAAGTCCCTGTAGGCACACTGGATCTCCATTAATATGAGGGCGTGTGCGTCTAGTTTGCTGTGGAATGGCCCTGGGCTGGAGCACTGCATCCTGGTGAGCTTGCCTCCCCATGACTGGGAGGAGCCCAGTTTAACCCATTTGGCTTTTCAGTGGAAGTATGAGTTGTCCCCCAGGAAATCATTATCCATAGTTTATCCCAGGATTGGGAAAGAAAACAACAGGAATAAACTACACATTGATTAATCCCACCAAATGGGTGGTATGTAAAAGCAGAGAGAAAATGTGACCCACCTTGGTGCCTTCTCAGGCAGAAGAGCAGGCAGGAACAGGTAATGAGTAGAAGTAATCCCCCCAAAGCAAGCAAACTATAAAAGAGCCAAGGTCTGTTTGCCATCTCTTCCTCGGAGGGTCTTGCTGAGGCACTGGATGGATCTGGAATATTAGTCAATGCTAAATATAATTAGGAAATCTGAGATACATGATATTAGGATCAATCAGCAGGACCGTTCTGCATCGTTGGAACTTGAATGAAGGTGATTTCAGGCTGATGCCTCCATTTCCCCTTCGAGGCATTCCTTGAGAATCCCAGGCCTCAGTTCCCTCAGCCACCTCTTGCTTTAATGCTGACATGTGGCTCTGTAATAATTCACTTTTTGAAAAAATCCTTTAATCCACTAGGATTAATCTTCCATAGAATTATCTCCATAATACTTCTCTGTAACACTCCACCAAGCCCTTCTATTTGTAGTATCTATTTTAACTTCTATATTTGTCACCTAAGTAGGAAAGCTATTGACTTTATCCAGTATCATGACTTGAGAACAGTGTTATTGTTCCAAGAATTTTGTCTAAATTCAGCCAGTTAGTAGCAGTTGGAATGTGAGTCAACATGTTTCTGACACTAAATTCAAGTATGTCCAAATATCAAATCCTTCTGGTATTCTCAGATATGTTCTGCCTAGCATTTAGCTAATACTTATAATAATTAATTAATCTTAACCTGCATTAAGGCCCTGTTTCTCTGCAGTTGGCAGCAACTTATTAGTAGGTTCTGATACAATTTAATAGATTACAAATTGTATTTTAAAAAAAAAAACAAAAAAATAGAAAATATTAGAATGCATCCAACAGTTTTGTCCTCCAGAAAACATGTGGCGATGTCTGGAGACAGTTTGGGTTGTCACAAGATGAGGGAAGGAAGGATAGCATTTAGTGAAGAGAGCCCAGAAATTCTGCTTAAACATCCTACATTATGCAGGATACCACCCCTCTCGCTGCAGTGAAGAATTATGCACCCCAAAATGTCAGTGGAGAAATCCTGTTCTGAGGAAAGGATTATAATGTGTTATAATGTCTGTGCTTTGTTTCCCTAGATACTTGGTTTGGGGGTAAAAATGATCAGGGGCAGTAGAAGCAGGCTACAAAGTGATTTGGTAATTCTGAGCAGTAACACAGCTGTATTGTTCATGGTGCAGCTGCTATTTAGGGTGGAGCTGTCTGGGGAGGACCAAGGTTCCCACAACAGATAACCTAATACAAACAAATCTGATTGACTAAGATGCTTCTAAGCACGCACACAAAAATCTAGTTTTCTTAATTTTATTTGATTAGCTTAATACTTACCTATTAGAGGGAGTTCTGAATTGCTTTGAATTTCTTCTGAAATAGAGAAAAAAGATAAAAAAAATTAAAATTAGTTGAGAGTGTACACTTGGGCATATCCAAAGTAAGAGCTAGTCTCACAGAAGATTCCAGCATTTGCACACCAATAGAATCCAATAGCCCAGCTCAAGGTTTCTGTAATTTGTGAATCATTACCTTGAGGTCCACAAGGTGGACACAAATTTGATGTGAACACAAATTAAATTCCTGGGTTCATTGTGCTGGTCACAGAAAAACTTGGTAAATGTCACATAACTTTCATCTGTTTGGTTTGATGTCCTCTTCCCACTCATTAAGTATAAGGACCCAATACAGCCTACATGACACCTATGACACCTGGAGTAACAAGATGCATGTTCAGCAGGTGCTCCAAGTGAGGGTGGAAGGCTACAAGGAAAAGATGCCTTCAGTGATGTCCTTGGTGCTTATTCTGAAAAAAGCCTGTACCTCTCACTTCCTGCCCTCCCGCTCTACATGCACTTTCCTGCACAGATAAGGACCAACCCACTTTTGTGAAGTTCCTATTCAGAAACTAACCAAGGTAAGGCTAGAGTTTCAGGCCCAAGCGTCTTCTGGTGACTGTTCCCAGCTCTGTCAACTTTTTCCCTGGGGCTTTGCTTTATTTTGCAAAGTACTTTTCTTCATTCTGGGAAAATATTGCTTTCCTAAGAGCACACAAGCCCCCACTCCATCACAGACCTGTCCTTATGTGAACCAATTCTTAACTTTAACATTAACAACAAAGGAGAGTCAGATTAAAAAAAGAAAGAAAAAAAAATTTACAGTATGCCTTCAGAAATATATTTCAAGGGAAGACAACAAAATGTCTCCTAGTATACCTTCCAAAATTTATTTATGAAAAACATGGTCCTTAAACATAGTTCTGAGTGTATTTTTAACATACTTAGTTCATACCTAGTTTATTGAGCACTTCTTAGGCTTACTTAGTTCATGGAACCCTCCCAAGTTCAGAAGAAAAAAGGAATTTTTTTGAGCCTTTCCCTGTTATTTTTGTTTTCACTACTTTACTAAAGGAAAATGCACACACAATTTTAATTAAAGCTAATTCCTAAACCTTACATTTAACTTTTGTGAAGGAAGTAGAGATAACTCAAAGAAATATGATATAATTTGTCCCTCCCAAGACATTATAATCTTTCATGGAACTTAAAAGACATTACCATACATTACTACAGTGAAAAGAAATGTGTGATAAATAAAAGGCAGAGACATCAAATGGCATAAAAATTGATAGAAAAGGGCAGCACCTTTTCTCAAAGGAGCTCAAAGGAGTAGGGTGCCGGCCCCCATATGCCGGAGCTGGTGGGTTCAAACCCAGCCCCGGCCAAAAACTGAAAAAGAAAAAAAAAATTGATAGAAAAGAGAGATCATACCCCCTAAGGTGATGGTGGCAGACTTCCTTGAGAATTTGGGAAATGAGTTGAGCTTGAAAGAAGGGTTAGAATTTTGATAGTTGGAAACAGATGAATGGATGGCCTACAAGTGACAAGAGTGGCATAGAAAAGGTCATAGTGAAACCATGGCAATGGCAAATAGGGCTGTTAGGCTGGAGTTGAAAGGCTGTATATGGAATCCAGAAAGGTAGGTGGAGGTGAACTATGGAAGACCTTAAATGCTGGTTAACAAACACAACCCTGACATTGTGAGCACAGGGAATGCTCTGTGGGGGAGTGGGCTTATGAAAAAAAAAAAAAACGTGTTAGGCAAATTAAGTCTATTAGGAAGATACTTGACTGGAAAGGACCAAAATAGGGAAACACTAAAGATGAAGGGTTCAAGCATATAATTAATTAATTGCATTACTTAGAAGGAACATAATGAAGGTCTGCAATGCTCACAGAAGCTATAGAAAGGAACACATAACAAAACGAAAGGCTGTTGAGAGGCAAGACCAGTGTAGATCAGGAGCATTAATTAACAAAGTGGTAAGAGCCTGGTGTGGTAGCTCACACCAGGGTGGATCACCTGAGCTCAGGAGTTTGTGACCAACCTGAGCAAGAGCAAGAGTCCATCTCTACCAAAAATAGAAAAAACCAATCAGGCATGATGGTGAGCACCTATAGATCCAGCTACTCAGGAGGATGAGGTAAGAGAATCACTTGAGCCCAGGAGTTTGAGGTTGCTGTGAGCTAAGACGCCAGGGCACTCTACCCAGGGCAGCAAATGAGACTCTGTCTCAAAAATACTAATACAGATAAAAATAAATAATAAAACATTTTAAAAGAATTTCAATGGATTCCTTCATTGGGGTACTTTGAGGAAGATCAAATAGAGACTGTAAAGTAAGGGTATAAAGCAATAAATTAATTTTTTTTTTTTGAGACAGAGTCTTACTCAGTCACCCTTGGTATAAGACTGTTGTGGCATCATAGCTCACAGCAACCTCAAACTCTTGGGCTCAAGTGATTTCTCTTGCCTCAGCCTCCCAAGTAGCTGGGACTACAGGTGCTTTCCATAATGCATTGCTATTTTTTTAGAGACAAAGTCTTTCTCTGGCTCAGGCTGGTCTTGAACCTTCAAGCTCAGGCAATCCACCCACCTCAGCCTCACAAGTGCTGGGATTACATGCATTAGCCACAGCACCCAGCCTCAATAAATTGATTTTTAAAAGAACAGCCACAAAATGTATACATTGAAATGCATGGCACCCATAACAGAAGTAAGCTTATGTGGCTACATCTACAGTTTAGTGATGCTACTTAGTACAGCACCAAACCTCTGTCTTATTCCTATTCTCATGGGAAAGCTTTCAGTCTTTCACCATTGAGTATAATATTGGCTGTGGAATTCCCACAAATCAAATATTTTTTACTCTCCTCTACTCTTCTTTCTATGTGTATTTCTTTCTATGTTTTATTCAGCTTGGATTTTCCCTAGCTTGACTTCTACCTGTCTTTTTTCAGCTGTTAAAGCCTATGAAAGCCCTCTGGAAGGGGACAGGGAGATAGTTGAAGCTATGACTATTCCTAGAAAGTCATTAGGGAATCAAGTTATTTGTGTGCTTTAAGCAAATTATAATCTATTAATGAGTCTATAATTGTCTAAGCACCACAAACACAACTTCAAGGAATTATAATTAATAAGAGGCAAGGACAAATACATAAAAGAAAAACAGATCAAAGAATATAGAACTATCTACAACTATAGGTATTCACTTAATTGTAATTTTTCAATATTTTAGTAATCTACTTTTGGATTTACCAAATAAATTTTATAACACCTAAAGACATGAACAATACGTTCTGTTATATTTTTCTCTTCTCTTCTCTGCCTCATACCCCCCCCCAAAAACACACACACCTGCACAACAAGTGTACACATCTCCACATAATAATCTCTAAAGTGTGTCCAACTTCTGATATGCCAAAGGAGTTCAGCCTCTAGCACAATCACTTGAGAATCTGGATCATCCTCTTTTGGAAGCATGATGAGAAAAACATTAGATGCACTAGGCATTGAGAACTCACCTATCACATTAATGGCTGTTGAGTGGCTTGTAATGAGTTTAGATGAAAGATTCACAAAGCAGCGATATGACCCATTGTCACTAGGAAGCACTGGTTCAAAATGTAGAATAAAAACTGAAATATTCTTCTTTTCTTCCCAACTTGTGTGCTGAAATCTGTCTCCAAAATCTGAACAGTTTGTCCCTTTGAGCTTGCACCAAGTCACATTAGGCCTGTCATTACAGTATTTCACAGGGCATTCAAGTTGAAAGGACTTTCCCACTGAGACAAAGTGTAAGGATTGTCTCTTAATGTAAAGTTGTACTTCACATGATTCTTCCCCTAAAAAATGGAAACAAAACTAAAATCAAATATGTTCCTCTGGAATGACCATATATATATGTGACTTCAACAATTTCTGCCAACCATTTCTCAAGCATTATTCTATAATTTCCTAGGGAATAGTTTCTATTAATTAATCTTCCTTAACAGAGTTTATGATACATAATAAATATTTGCTTAAAAAATAATCATTTAATCCTTTGTCTTAGTTCATGTTCTCAGACTACCTGAGACTGTAATCTATAAGTGGTAGGAGTACATTTGGCTTATGGTTCTGGAGGCTGAGAAATGCAAGAGCATGGTACTTGTGCCTGGCAAAGGCTTTTGTGCTGCATTATTCCGTGGCTGAAAGCAGAAGGTGAAAGAGCATAAGTAAGAGAGAGCATAGGAACAAAACTTCTTTCTTTTACTAGGAGCCCAGTCCTGTGGTAGCTAACCCACTTTCATCATAAGGGTATTAATACTTTCATGATCTGAATTACCTCTAAAGGTCCCCCCTTAATCACAATGACAATTAAATTTCAACATGAATTTTGGAGGGGACATTCAAACATAGCATTCTACCTTACCCAAAACTCATGTTCTTTTCACATACAAAATACAGTACATTAGTTCTATCCCATTAGCACCTAAAGTTTTAACTCATTCCAGCATCAACTCCAAAGTCCAGAGTTTCATCTAAATCAGATACAGGTGAGACTCAAGGCATGATTTATCCTGAGGCAAATTCCCCCCAACTGTGAGCCTGTGAAATCTAAATAAATATTCTACTTTTAAAGTACAATGGCAGGACAAACATAAGATAGACATTTCTATTCCAAAAGGGAGAAATAGGCAAAAAGAAACGAGTAACGGGCCCAAACTAAGTCCAAAATCCAATAGAGAAAACAACATTAAGTTTGAGGCTGGAGAATAATCTACTTTGACTCCATTTACCACATCTGGGGCACACTGCAATAAGGGTTAGGCACCCATGGCTTCGGGAGGCCCAACCCTTACAGTTTTGCTGGTCTCAGTCCATGCTTCAGCTCTCATGAGTTAGAGACTCAATGGTGCAGCTTTCCCAGGCTAATTCTGCAGGTTGATAGCTCTACAGTTCCGGGGGTGGGGGAGGATGGCAGTCCCACTCCCATGGCTCCACTAAGCTTTGTTCTGGTAGGGACTCTCTGTGGTGGCCCCAATATCACATTTCCGCTCAGCATTGCCTTACCAGGAGCTCTCTGTGATGCTCTGCCCCTGCAACAAGGCTCTTCCTAGGCCCTCAAGCTGTTAGCAACATCCTTTGAAATCTACGTGGAGGTAGCTATTCCCCTATTGCCCTTGCATTTTGCAAGCCTGCAGTGTCAAGGAGTGGGTGTTGCCAAGGCTTACAAAGTATACCTTCCTGTGCGGTGGGTTGAGCTGTACCTGGGCTTGCTTGAGCTATGACTGGGGGTGGTCAAGGAGCACTGTGACAGAATGCAGCATAAACACAGCTTTTGGCAGCCAGCCTGTGCAGGGCACTTCAATTTCCCCTCAAACTTTTCTGCTGTCCTATAGCTCTGAACCTGTGATGGGAGGGGCAACCTCAGACATATTTAAAATGCCTCAGGGATCTTTTTCCCCCATTGTCTTAATGAATAATACTGTACTCTCTTCTATCTATAGTAACCACTTGCTTCAAACATGCCTTTTCATTTTACTATAGCTGGGCTCTGATTTTTCCAAATCTTTCCATTCTGCTTCCCTTTTAATTATCAATTCCAGGTTTAAGTCATTTTTCTCTCTTGCATCTCATGGTATGCAGTTAAATTTAGCCACACAATAGCCTGAAGGCTTTCCTTCTTAGATGTTTCTTCCACTAGACATCCTAGTGTTCATTGCTCTTAAGTCCCAAGAGTCCCCACTCATAAAGTCCCAAGACGTGGATATAATTCTGCCAAGTTCTGTGCAACTGTATAACAAGGCTGGCCTTTGCTCCAGTTTCCAGTACCTTGTTTCTCATTTCCAAGACCTCATCAAAATGACATTTGCTGTCCATATTTCTGCCAACATTCTGCTCACAACCACTTCAGTAGTACATAAGAAGATTCGGACTTTCCCTACAGCTCTCCTTTTATGAGCCCTTACCAAATCACCCTTACACTCCACTCATGGCAATCTAGGCTCTTTCCAGCCTGCTACAAATTCTTCTAGCTTCTGTCCATTTCTTAGGTCTAAAGCCACTCCTACATTTTTAGGTATTTGTTGTAACAACAGCCCTAATTCTCAGTATTCATTTTCTGTCTAGTCTATTTTCTGCTGCTATAACAAAATGCCTCAGACTGAGTAATTTGCAAACAAACAGTAGACAGTTATTTGGCTCACAGATCCGTATGCTGGGAAATCCAAGAACACAGTGTCAGCCTCTGATAAGGGCTTTCAGGGTATATTATTCCTTGACAGAAAGTGGAAGTGAGTGCATGAGGTAGAGAGAAAGTGGGAGCCAAACTTCATTATTTCATCAAAAGCCTGCTCCCACAATAAGGGCATTAATTAATAAGGGGAGAACCCTCATGACTTAATCACCTCTACAGGTCCTATCTCTTAATAGCATCACAATGGCAACTAAATTTCAACATAACTTTTGGAGAGGCCGATCAAATCATAGCATCCTCACAACAAAAATGAGGTGTCAGTATGATCCCTGTTTAACTGGGAAGGAAACTGAGATTGTAAACAACTTGCCACAGTAATATGCTAATAATCAGGAGAATTATGATTTAAACTCATCCATTACTCTATAATTTATTAACTATTATTCTGTATTGCTTCCTGAACAGTAATTGGTAATCACCTTTTCTGTAACCAGTTCTGATATAGGCAATTAAATGAAAGACAGACATTTTGGTAGGCAACCATTTCCCTATAATACTTAGCATTGGGAATTTTCTTTACTTCTTTTCAATGGATTTTAGAAATTTTTGTGTAAGATAAGCAACTCAAGATGATCACCTTAATTTAAGAAAGTATGAATATGAGATAACCTGAATTATTTGTTTTCTCTAAGTGAAATTGTCTCTAACAATTATTTGTTTCATCTACTTCTTTTGGAAGTTCTGTCTACTTGCCCAATATACTGGAAATTTGCCTCCTTTTGTTTGGGGGAAAAGAGTTTTTCCCTGGAAATATGTCTTCCTATTATTTTCTTTGAACCCCCAGGTAATAATTGTCAAGTGTCCATAAAATCTGTAGCACAGAAAACTTTCTAAACATTTCTTATGTCATTGGATAATTTATGTTATTGTTAACTTATCATTAAAGTATTTGCCTTGTAACCTCAGCATCTGACCTTTAACTGAGAACCAAGATACACAAAACAGAAATCTTCTCTAGGCAGATGAAGGAGATATTGCAAGATCCAAACTTTATCTCAATTTATTCATAATTATTATAATTCCATTATCAATCCCTACTAGTCCAGAGGGCATCATTGCATTCTATAATACAGACTAAAGATGATGTTCATAATAACATTAACAATAAAACTTTTAATTATGTTTAATTTCATCTATTTTTTTTTGAAGGAAAGAACTATACAACCTGTTTTGCAAAGAATTTCATCAGAATGGTTACTTCAAAAAATGTTTTGGCTTCAAAGGGACAAACTTTAATTACTTAGAATACATTATACATTTATGGGGAGCTTTTTATTCTCAGGTAATTGCTGGACTAATATTGTTCCTTTTGAGGCTCATCCATAAAAAGAGCATGAGAAACAGCATGTATTTACTATAACACACACAATTCTTTTTGCATCAGTTACATGACATAACTGATGTGCAACAATGTGTATACTAATTGCACAATATTCTACTATGAATTGGACTCCTTAAGAGCTGGTGAAACAAAAGAAAATAAACAAACATTTCCTTATTTAAGTACTTTGTGATGATTTGTGTTTTTTACTTTTCCAGTAATGTTAAGGCTAAACACATGGTCTTAAGAGTTATTTCTCTTCAATTTCTTTTTTCTTCATCCTTTTAGTTACTTCTTAAACTTTTCTGTTTTCAACTTCTCTTTCTCTCAACAATGAAAAAAATCCATCTACTTCATCAGTTGTTTGATTCATCTTCAAGCATTCTTCTGAATAATTTCATAGTGAGCTTAGCTTAGAATGACATAAGCATAACTGAGATCATAGTCAAAACTGTCTCTAGTAGACAAAGACAGCAAAGGGCTTTGCCTGTGATCATACTATGCATAGCTAATTGATGTTGAACAGCAGGGACAACTTCTGGCCCCAAGTTTCACATATCTGTCTACCTGGAATATTGCTTCACTTTATTTCTAAACTTTTGCCAGCATGAATATTCTCATTTAAGCTATTTCCTAACACCTAGTAAACCTTTCAACATAATTCCTTCTCACATCTCATCAACCTGTGTTCAAAATGATTGAAACTTGATTGAGGATTTTGTTTTCCTTGGGCCTGGTGTTGGAAGTGATCAGGGGTTGCTAGGTCTGCTCGCTCTTATAGGCCCAGTAGGATGGTACTGGGAAGTGGCAGCTGTATCTTTAAAGTTGTGTAAATCCTCCCAAGAATACAAACTAAGCAAGGTATGGCACCCAGCCCAGAACAGAAGTGGATCCATGAATTCTCTGGCAGAACACCCTGGTCACAGACACCCACATGATGCGGACCTGAGGCCTCCTGCCAACAGCCAGCACTGGCTTGTCAGCTATGGGTATAAGTCTCCTTGGAAGTGAAAGTGAGAGCTCTGTCAAGCCCTCATCTGATTGCAGCCTCACAGGAGACCTGAACCAAGACTAGGCAGAAAAAGCAGAACCTCCTTATAACTCTGAGATAATTACAGCATCTTACTCTACCAGAATGTCCATAGAAAGACAAGATATGCAATTTGCCACTTCAGATTGCAACTAAGAGCCACTAAGCCTGCACACCAGGCTAAAAGAATGAACAATATTCCACCATTTTTGTTTATGGAATGTATAAACTAGCATGATTCTCCACTGCACTT